GTCACGGGGGGGGGGGCGCCTCAGGATGGAGGGGGGGACAGGGAGCTGCCGCAGGGCTGGGGGGCACAAGGTGGAAGTTTCGCCTAGGGCGCGAAACTTCCTTGCACCGGCCCTGTCTGGACTTTGTTTCTTGAGTTGTCACGTAGCCCAAACCTGCTCTGATTGAAATGAATGGGAGGTTTGTCATTGACTTCTGGGGGAGCCAGATTAGATCAACTTGTTTAAGGACTAGTAAAGTGAAAGATGCAGGATTAAACTTCTTTAGTTGCCTTTAAGTTTCCCAAGATAATTTTTCTTCAGTGCTATGATGCCTACTGTATCAGTGAAGGATTAGCTGAAAGCTTTACACCTTATAGTCTTGAGTCATGGGAGACTGACTTAGTCTCCCATGACTCAATTGATATTATTTCCTTTTTACATCACTGGCAACTTGGAATACTCTTTGCTTTTTTTTAAAGAAGCCAGATGCCATACAGTCAAGGCACAGCATCAACCTGATTAGTAATGCTGCAGCTTCATCTAGAAACAGAGTCTTTTTAATTTCTGTTTTCTATCTGGTGTAAAGGGATAACATTGAAACAGACATCATTACTATGATGTTATCATGCACATTCGGTTTAATTTGCAGCTAGCTATCTCCTTGTCGTCTGTACTGGATGTCAAAAAACTCAAGACCCTCCTACCCATCACTGGCAATATTTTGTTGAACTATATCAGAGCTACAGTATAAGCCAATTTAAGTTTAGAAGCTGCTGAGCGATAAGTATTTACATCTTCAGCACATGCCTGTCCCAAAGCACCCAAAAACCAATAGCCCCTCTTCATTGTTATTGTTATTTTCAGGAAAGGCTCACAAGGCAAATACTATGTTTGTCTGCCCTAAATGACACACACCTTGTTTAATCCTCTCTAAGGACACAATGGGTAATTTACATACTTGGTTAATTCTACTACAGTCAATGGAGGTACACCAGGGATGAATTTAGACTTGAACTTGTTATCTTTATAGTATTTATATACATGACAAAAATAAAGAACTTATTTAATTATCAAAATTAATACCTACATAATGTCTTGGTTGGAAAATGGTACATCACTTTATATTACAAATACAACACAGCCTGTGTCAAGTATGTAATTTTACATTGTTCTCATTTCAGTCAGAGAACTCAAATTCCTAATATCCCACTGCAGGAGCTCATGGGGAAAAACTGTCTTAACTGTACATTTTGTTGAAAAGAAAAAAAAGCCTTTAATAATAGGATTTTAAAACCACATCAGCTTGATTGCTAAAACCCCCTTTCTTGCTATTTGTATAAAGATTTCTTTAAATGCTTCCAAAGCAAATGGTAAGATGGGATATCTGACTGCATAACTTTGCCGAATATCAGATAGTCATGGCAACTTAAATTTCAGTCGTTGTCCCTAGTCTCAGAAGAGATACTGGGAAATAAAATGTCACTCCTTTGTGATGCATTACTTAGCTGAGACTTAGTTTTTAATAAGAATTGTGCTTTCCTGAACATGATTCTTTCCTGCTCTTGCTTCAGCTCAATGTAGGAGCGTGAAAACGTGTGGAAGATGGAGGTGACTGGAAATGCCATGAGGAGAATGCCACTCAGAATGCTGCTTAAAGCCACCACCTGGCCTGGAATGCTTCTGGGAACCATGTCGCCATAGCCTACTGTTGTCATGGTGATTACTGCCCACCAGTAGCACGCAGGGATGCTGGTAAACTCCTGTGAGTCCGCCATCTCATTCTCAATGACATACAAGAGCGGCGCAAAAAGCGCAATGGCTACGCAGAGGAAGAGCAGCAAGAGTCCAAACTCCCGTGTACACCTGCGAGCGGTGAGTCCTAAAGTCTGCAGGCCGAGGGAGTGCCTGGCCAGCCGCATGACATATAGAATCCTCAAGGCACGGAGTATGCGGAGCACCAGACCTACTTTGTCCAGATAGATGTTGCCAGAGGTTGGCTTTTTAAAGCCCACCGAAGTGGTATCTACTAGTAAAGTGATATAATAGGGTAGAATGGCAATAATGTCAATCAGGGTTAATGGTCTCCTCAGAAATACAAACTTGCTCTTTGCCTGAATGAATCTCAACAGGAATTCCAAGGAAAACCACGCCACACAGACAGACTCCACGATGAAAATATTGTAGCACATCTGGGAGCATTCACCCTAGAAGAAAGAGAAGGAGTTTATACTCAGTAAATGAACAGTCACTGTTTTAGTTGGTAAAGTGACAGGAATGATTTTTTTTTGGTCTTTTAAACCATAATATTAAATGAATTGAAGCTATATTAAGGGGTAACCAGTTTGGCAAATCTGCTGAATTACAAACTAAATACAAAACTTACCAGACGCCCAATACTTCTTCCACTGAAGTCAATGGCAAAACTCCCATTGACTTCAGAGGCAGTGAGGTCTGGCTCCAACTTCCCTAGTTTCTATTAGTAGTTATGGTGTTCTTAAGTAGCACAAACAAAGCTTCAAAAATTCATGATATGGCTGTCCAGAATAATGCACATTTACAAAATGTTTTTCTCAGAGAAAAGTGTCATTTACAACTTTCAGTATCTTTATCTACAGACCTTATCCTGCTCGCCCTGAAGACAACTACAAAACTCCCACTTGCTTCAATGGGAGCAGGATTAGGCCCTGTATTTGCTTTACTTTTCCCAGGCAACAATGTTTTACCATCCTGAAAGTCAACTTACTCTCTCCTCCTCCTCTCTTAAGTCGGGCATGGTGCTGATGGATAGGTTCACTGCAGTAATGGTCACAAACAATACAGACAAACATGCAAATACTTTCCCAGGAAGCCCAGACTGAGGCCTCTCCACCATGTCTTGTAACTTTTTCATGCACAAGCTGGCTCTTGTCTCCTCCACTGTTTCGCCTGGGTTTTCATTCTCTATGAGGTCATCGTCCTCCCTTTCGTTCATTTCTGTAAACTCCTCCATTTTTTGCAGATACCTCCTCTTGCAGCACCATTCCAGACTGTCCTCCTCAATGCCCCAGTAGAGCAGCTCCTCTTGGAAAGAAAGAGCGCACATCTCTCGCATGAGCCGAAGCTTCCCAACCCGCAAAAATGTCAGGATTGTCCTAAACGCCCCCGGGTTGCGGTCGAAAAAGAATTCATTGCACGTCACATCGTAATCATCGCAAATGTTTAGAATGTCATCAAAATTATTACAAAATTTCAATTGGCCCAAGCGCGTCAGGGGAAACTCATCAAGTGTGGTCCAGGGCAGCAAGTATTTAATGCCCCCTACATTTATGATGATATGATGCTTCCGGTCCTCAGGGTGAATGCTTTTAAAGAGATCCTCTTCAGGGTGAATTAGCTTGGCTCTTTGGTAAAAGACTCCCTTGAGGGTTTCTGTTTCTGGAAAGAACGTGTGGTTGAAGGAGGTATCTGAAGCACAGCTCAGGGCGCTATAGTCATAATCAGAATTTTCTCCTGTTAAAAGAGTCATCTTGGCAGCTAACTTCACATCCCTTAGACACTCCAGCAAGAGTACTCTGGAACAAAGAAAATACAGATGTTTGGTGTTAGTGTAAATGTTTGCCCTCTGGATCTGCAACTTGACTATCTATAGGGCTGCTAAAGAAATCACAGGGAAAGCTTGCAAGTGGCTCTGTATATTTAGCAGAATGGCAACTGTAAAAAAGAAGTTATTGCACAGTCACAAAGAGTTCAAGTGTAGGGTGCAGAAAAGGAATTGGAAAAAGGCATTCCTGTTTGTTTACCATAGGTAAAAATCTTCTTAAATACTTTAGTAACAATTAAGTATATACAAAAGAATCCGAAGTTGATAAGGATATTTAGTGAAGTTCATCATAGTCTGTTCAGGCAGTCTTAGATTACTTTCAAGGAAGTCAAATGAAAACAATGTTGACAAAACATTTGCACTGCTATTCAAATATAATGCTCATATGTTGTGTGTAACTGGACATATAAATAGCATGACAGCTTGCTCTCTGGAGCCTTATTCAGAGAAGATAGTTTAATAACTTTATATGAATTTCACACACATCATACACTATTCTTTGGATTCAATAATTTTGTTTGACACTGCTCTCACTGTACTGCTAATCTATTTAATATAGTTGGAGCAAAGGTACCTTTCTCTGTCATTCTAAGAGTCTCCAAAAGGTTCTTATGATATGCTTCTGAAAAAATGAAGGAGCAAATTCTGCTCTCAGTTACACTGGTGTAAATTTGGAGTGACTTTACACAAGGAATGGAGTTATCCTGAGTTCATACCAATATAAAAATTTGGCCCTGAAACCGCTAAACTCTCTCTCTCTCTCTCTCTCTCTCTTTCTCTCTGCCTAACTTGCTGCACTGCAACATTCACTTGAATTATTTTAGAAGGTGGCTGTAGCATAGGAGAGGAATATGCCACGCTGGCTCTTGATTTCTTATCTGTATATTCAGCCACATTTAACATGAGTAGCTATTTAATTTGGGGGGGGAGTGTTTTCACTGAATAACAATTGAGTGCAATAAATAAATAGTAATCACACTTGCTAGTCACAGGCTCACATAGGGGCAGTAAATATTCCATTTTCCTGCCTTACACAACAATATATTTTTGCTGCATGTGTTTGCGACACTTACTCTCTCTCCTTTAATGGGCGGGGAGGGGAGTAGCAGCTACAGTAGGTTCCATTAGACACAGAACTACTCTTCTCTGGTGTTAAAGATTATGAATGAAGCCATTTATTTTAAAAGCTTGCATACTTCTAGCCAGAAGCACAAGTATCAAGCCGCAGAACAGCTGCATTTCAATCTCAGCATGGTGGGCTGCTCATGCATGTCCAAATTCTCTGTACATGGCAGACTTTAATGTTACCATTATCTCAACTATTCTCTACGCTGAAGTTTAATCCCCCTTCTGGCGCTAACCTTTTCCTGTTTCCTCAGGGCAGATGGACTTGTGTTCTTGGTGGAGTGATACCTTCATGCCTCTGACACCTCTCAGTATAAATCTGACACCTCTCAGTATAAAAGGAATTCAACAATCACCTCCCCTTAAAGAGAAGATGGAGGATCCTGGGTAAGGAAAACCTTTGGGGAATACACAAGTATAGCCAAAACTTAATTCAACTCCTGATAGAGTCACAGCACTCTTTCCTGGCCTGAGGTAAGCAAAGAGGGCTTTGTCATCTTGTTTGTATCATGGAGCAGGATCTCCACTGCTGCTCCTCCATGCTCCATGAACACAACTGACAGGAAAGGTGCCAAAAACTCCTATACGTTCAACTTTCCCTGCCTTATTACACAAACTCTCACTCACAAAACTGAGCTCTAAGTTGTTCTGTTTTGGCCAGGAACATACACGCATGGCAATGCCCAAGGCAAGAGAAATGCAATTCTAAAAAATCTTTGAATCTGAAACGTGGAGAGCAAACAAAGGGCCAAATCCACTGGTCCTTAGGCAAGGTTCTAATGGATTTCAGTAAGTGTCTTGCCTGAATAAAGACAGAGTAATGGGCTATTGATTCACATGTCATATTTTCTGCAGAACACAAAATGTAATCCTATGTAAAAAGACATGCTCCGGGAAATTCCAGCCAATAGTGAGATTATTAGTGAAGCTTCATGACAAGTGATGGTTCTCTGCCATTAAAGCTGCAGAGTTCAGATAAGCTAATAAATCCTGTATAGAATGATAGCTGTGCCTCTAAAGTTTGCACCTGCAAAGAACAGAGGTCAAGGGGAGCAAATTTAGACGCGGTTTTTCATAGATTGGCTCCAAGGGTAGGTTGGTGTTAGCTTTTAGTTCTCAGAGAAGTGCTTTTACTAACAACCAAACTTGCACTTACCCTGAGATATAGTCCTACCTTATAAAGCATTCCCATTGACTTTACAGCTAGTCTTCTCGTAAAGTACTCCTGAGATGTTGTTCTCTGTGAGAATGATGCCCTGGGGAATTCAGGCTATAGCCTCGGCTGAGATGTGGGAGACCCTGTAAGATGCTGAACTGACACCCACACCCCCTCCTTCAGTGTTCCCCAGTGTTCTGTTGCAAAAAAATGGTTTATTCTTACCAACTTGACTGTGTCTATTGTGGGGTTGGGCCAAAGTGAATGCTGATACGTTTACAGTTCCTGGAAATTGTGAATAACCAGGAGAGGAGTTAAATTAACCATTTTCCCTTCTGCTATATCAGATGTTGTGGGTTAATAACAGCTTATGCCCTGAATTGCAGCCAGAAAAAAAAATGAGGAGGCAGCTCATCTCTGTAATTGGTTTGATCTCCCAGTACATCCACTGATACAACATGAGGAAATGGGAGAAAAAATGTAAATGTTATGTGTGTATCAGGCTTCCACTGTAACCCACAGGCACCAACTGTGAAATCATTAAGCCATAAAAATGCGTTCTTTCATTGCCTTCCCACCTCTGTCTCTGTATGTGTGCAAGACGACAGGCCAAATTAATCCCTGATGTAACCGACTGACTGGGGCTATAAAACGTGGCCATTGGCTACCCTTTTCCTGTAACGAGTGGTGAGAAGCCTAGACAGTACAACTAGATGCTACAATGTGAAACTGTCAATAGTCAGGAAATGTGAAACTGTCAACATCCAGGATGGAGCTTGTGAATGCAGAAGACAGGACATTTTGGCAACAGGGCCAAGTCTCTGGCACTCCTTACTGGGGAAGACCAGAATGGCCACATATTCCATAACCTTCAAAATGAGGTTTAAAACTCACTCCTTCAACTTGGTATTCCTGGAAATGTGGCAGAACATGGCGAAGAAGGGTGAAAAAAGGGAGGAAAATGAGGCGAGAGAGTAGAAGAAAATCAAAGCTAATATACAAGCCCACAGTCCCTGAGTGGTTGAAGCAGGAAGGAAAATGAAACAGTGCAGTGTTAGACTGTGCTGTCTGTATTATTCCTGGGGAGGCGCCCCTATACTCTGGTGATAGGATTGCCAGGAGACCAAGATGGTCAGGAGAAAGATGACCAACTGCAGGTTTCTGTTGCTGAAAAACTCATCAGCATCAGCAATCAGCAAATTCTATTCACCTCCCAAGGAACTATAAGCCAGTACTAGGACTGTGCTTTTGCTTAAAAGATAGATAAATTCAGCCCTTGTACTTATGTAAAGTTTCCATTCAGCAACTTGACTGACTTCTATGCCCTTCTCAAAGAACATGTTGTTAGTTTGAAAAATAAAAATGTTCTGTGGTTACAAGGAAGCTGCAGCAAAACTCAATAAGGACCAAGTTCATCCTTGGGCTGCAATGGATTTATACCAAGAATGAATGTATCCCATTTCAGCCCAACCCAAATAGTGTATAAAAGCAATAAGGTACAACCATATTTTTATGACACACAACAGACCAAGAACCAAGCAAAACTACCATGATAGCAAATCAGCCTTGTACCAGTTTCACAAAAGCACCATAAAACATCAATTTCAATTAAGAGATGTTTTAAGTCAGACACTGCATCTGAACATTAACCCATTAGACAAACTAGTCAGTCCATATCAGTAATTATTCTGGGTGCTGAGAAAGGTCAAGCTCTAAACGGATGCGTTTGCATTAGCCTGCTCTATGGAAACAGCTCTGGGTAATGCACAGTGATAAAAATCCACTGGCTCCTTTCATTGCCTTTGAGACAACACTCTCTCTGCTCTGAGTGGACTGGGGCTTGGGAAATGTGGGTCCTGTTCCTGGCTGTGCTGCTGGCCTTTTGTGTGACCCTGGGCAAGTCACTTGTCTCTGTGGCTCTCTTCCCTCTCACCCTTTTCTGTCATGTCTATTTAGCTTGCAAGCTCACTGGGGCAGAGGTTGTCTCTCACTGTGTTTGTACAGTGCCTAGCACAATGAAAGCCGTGATCTTGTTTGTGACCTCTACATGTTACTGTTATACAAGTAATACATAATAAGAAATATTCTAGTGTGTGTGGAGGGGGAAATATCCTTGGTTAACTTCTTTAGGTTGCAAGTGTGTGTGTGTGTGTGTGTATGTGTATGTGTGAGAGACAGAGAGAGAGAGAGAGAGAAACAGACAGAGACAGACACAACCTCTTCAGAAATATCTCATGCTCAGTTTGTGTGTTCTTATCTATTATGTTCAGTGAGTAAACCAAGTTAGAAATCCATTTGATTGCTCTGATTATCCCCACAATTGAGGGAGGCTGTCAGACTAATTAAGTTAGGGGGAAGGGATTATTAAGGATGCCCTTCTAAAGCAAACAGAAACAACTAGTTACTTGTTAAAACTCCAGTTCCAATTTTTTCTGAATGTCCTCTGCAGCATTTTGATTTCTGCAGTGCATCTCTGATGTAATCAGAAATCCTGCAAGAAGCCTTGCTACTGTTCTGTTGCAGAGACAAGTCAAAGTTGTGCCTGGATGATAACAACAGCGCTAGGGGGACATAGATCCCTATAAAGCCTATAAAGTATCTGAATAGTTCCCCAGACTTCGGTTCCAAGTCTGGTTCCTAGTACTTCTTGCATTTGCTGCTGTTTACCATTTCCTCTGGCAAAACATGTTCCAATGCAGTGCGACTACTTATATAATTACCTCTCCAAAAAAGGCTCTGCCATAAGTTTTCCTGCCATTTAAAAATTATTCCTGTTATACTTTTCCAAATGGGAAAAAAAAGTTCCACATGCTTCTCGGGCTGTATTACAAATCCATCTTGTTATTCTCCAGTCCCTGAAGCTCATCTATCCACCATATGGTGCTCACACTATAACAACACCTGTCTGAGGGGACCATGCTGAAATACTCCAGACTGCACTGACACAACTACTCATGTAGTGACAGGGTACTCAAACTTCTACTCTACTTACAAACGCAGCCTAAACATTGCAATCCAAGGAAGTTCCCCAAGCATATGTTTTCCCCACTAGACTAATTGTTATTATTTCTCATCAAAACAAGACTTGTAAAAGTTAGTGTATGACATTAAAATCATATTAATAAATATATCCTATGAAAATAAATGAGCACATATCTGCTGCTCTGTTTGATTTGGTAAGCAGTTATACTTAAGGCAAGGGCATGTTATGTTATGCCAACCCACAAACTAAATGCTGACTTTCCTTTTATTGGAGCATGTTATTGAGACTAATGCTTCTGTTAATAAACAATCAAAAGAGAAGCAACTTTGCCAAAAAAGAATCCCTATCTTCCTGGGATTATAACTGATAACTTGCTCTCTTATTTCCACATAGATTTTTCATTGTAAGCAATTTTAAATGAGATACAGTCAATAGAAATTATAGTAAATTTTAAGCACGTTTTAACAAGTAAATGTAGATTTGTGCATCTGAAGAAGTGAGGTTTTTTACCTATGAAAGCTTATGCCCAAATAAATCTGTTAGTCTTTAAAGTGCCACCGGCCTCCTTGTTGTTTTTGAGATTTGTAGTGTGTTTATATATATAAACGTTTTGTACACCTTTTGCCACTGAAATTAAAAGTGAACACTGTTTACTAACAGTACATATAGTAGCTTTCCCCCCAGTACAATCCTTTCCGATTGATAAATAAGACTGAAGCAGACTACTTGTGAAGAATAGCTTTTAAGACAGTAAACACAAAACAAAGTCATTACATGAGCAGGATGAAACAGAAAACTTAAAATAATTTAAAGGAATTGGATAAAGGACAATCAGAGCCCAGACAACGGGCACACGACTCTGAAAGTCAGCGAATCGCACTGCACATACAGACAACGTAGAGAGAGGGAACGGGACACGGAGAAGGACACAAAGAATGGAAGCGGATGTAAATAGAAAGCCATGTCTAGCTGATGGATTAGCCGAGGCGGCTGTCGGCGAGGCACTCAGACAGGAGGGAAGGAAACAGAAAATAGGCTGGAGAGCAGCGGAAAGTTCAGGAGCGCCCGGCACTTTCGCTACCTGGATAAGCCACTTTAATGAGCTAAAGGACCATTATTTTAGTTCCAGGGTAGGGAACGGAGGCCGGGCGAAGGGGCAGGATTCCTTCCGTTCAATCCCTGCTGTGGGCTAAAACCTGTTGCTTGAACGTGATGTGTACGAGTCTGAAATCATCACCCGAATCCGCATCCTTGCGGGGAAACAATCAAAGCCTACAGCCACGGGGCAGCTCCCGGAGCTTGCCGGCCGGGCGGGTGGCTCTTGGCCCACGAGTGTTGGTGACCCGGGGACTGGAGTGAGCGGGAAAAGCAGCTGGCTGCCCTCGGATCTCTTTCTGTCCCCACTGACAAACGGCCTGAAAGGGAGCGACCCGGGGAGGGGGGACTCGCACTCAACGCTCCTCCAAGGAGCCGCAGCCCGGGCGCCTCCAGGCAGGGCTCCGGCCCCGGCTGCTCCTCGCGAGGGAGGAAAGTTCGCTAGAAACTTGCCCGGGAAGTTCCCGGACGCGGCTGGGCAGGGAGCCGGGGAGCGCAGCGCAGCGGAGCGGGAGAGGGGCGCCGGGCTGGGCAGGGGAACCGGGACGCTCTTACTGTGCGGTGGCGGCTCCGGCTGGCTGGGTCCTTCCCCCGAGGAGCTGGGCGGGCGTGGAGGAGCCGGGCAGCGGCAGCAGGAGCCGCGAGCGCGGCGGCTGGGGAGGGAGCCTGAGCTGCACTGAGCAGGGCAGAGGCACCGCGCCCTGAGCGCAGGCGGCGGGGCTGGGGCTGCGCCCACAGGACGCTCCCTGCTCCAGTCCCTTTGACGGAGAGGGACAGAGTCATGGTAACCGTGGCTCGCAACCGGCGGCTGCCGCAGCACCCAGGGCCGCCAGGGAGCCACCGGAACGCTCCGGAGAGTCGGGCAGCCCGCAACACCCGCAAGCGACAGGCGCGCACCCGGCACATGCAACCTACCGCAGACACTAGCCCCACGCACGGGCCACCGGCACGTGCACACCCCGCGCATGCAACAGGCCGCCGCACACTCTGCAGGCTTGCACACCCCCACACGGGCAACATGCAGTACACACACAAACACACACACACACCTGTGAACATGAATTGACTAGGACAAGCCTACCTGAATCCAGCTCAGGTTCAACATGGACATAGGCAATATAGGCCCACATGTGCAGCAGGCACTGACATACACCCATAGTGCACACACTACACACAAGAATCCACCCAACAGTGCATCCACCGGGCACACAAACACACATTGCTTACCTGCACGCATACCTATATTGCACAAAAATACGCCTATACCCATTGTAAACACCCAGGAGGGATGCACACACTCCGTGTATTATTTATTTGTCTAGTACACCAGCGTTGTGGTAGGTATTTTACACACCACTATGAAGACAAGTTTTGGCCCATTCTAAATAAACGTGTGTATGCGGATTGGAAATACGTGCACACAACACGCATGTTCCCTGTGCACACACAAGCGCGTACATAGTCCATGTGCAGCACATTTGCACACACCTCATCATCATGTTAAAACTGCAGAGAAATTGGCCGACCTACCTTCTGAGAATGTGTATTTTGCAGATATTTTTTACAGAGACTTTCAGTTTTTACCTTACCCACATGCCTCTGAGGATCTGACCTGACTGGGAGTGAAGGGAGGAGCTGAGCATATCTTTCCACAGAAGCAGTTTGTTCGCTATGTACATGAGATACTTTGCACCTTCTGCACCAAACTATTTCTGGAGGGCAGGTGGCTGCCCAGAAGTGTATTAGATTGTTACAGGGATGAGGAATGTCAGGCTGTTCTCCAAGGAAAATGCAGGTCCCACTCAGCTGAAACCTCAAAGGCCTCAGGCTTTCGGTGCTAAATTGACGGCAACATTTCATCGTCTCTTCTGCAAAGCCTCGTCTGCGTGGTTCTGGATACGGAAAAGCTCGCACTGTGCCCTGCAGTTGGACCGTTGGGCCGCGTGGTGTCGCTGCACTGCTGTTTGCTTAACAGGATAACCTCAAATTGATACATTTTTGTGAAGTTGCGGGAGACAGCCGGTGACACATTGATTGTATCAAACAATACTATTGATAATAAACCCTTGGTTCCATCCCCCATTCTGTGCCAAGTCACCTGAATGTTATTTAAAAATAATCAGAACAAAGGACAATTAAAAACATAAACCACATCATATAAACCCACATAAACCAATAAAAACTAAATAAATATTAATAAATTTTATTCCTATAGCAAGTCACATAATGCTATTAAAACTAATGATCTAAACTAAAGTTTTGAAAAATACATGACTCACCATCATTGCTATATTTCTCACGAAAGATGTATGGTCTAGCAAGTAGGTAAGAATCCTTGTACCGTATATACAGATTCATTTGTATGGATTTAATCTTGATTTTAAAAGACTCTGTCTTTATGTTAAATGTTGGTTAGGTAGTTAGGGAACTGGACTGAAGAGTTAGTGGATCTGGGGTCAGTCCCCAGCTCTGCCACAGACATGTTGTGTGAGTTTGGACAAAACACTTAATCTCTCTGTGCCTCAGTTTCCATCTGTAATGGAGATATAACTGCTTCTTTTTGTCCACCATCTGTTTTTCTTGTCTGTTTAGGCCTCAATCCTGCGAAGAGACCCATGCAGGCATACCCTTGGACCCATGTGGAACTACTTGCAGGACTGGGGCCTTAAAATGTAAGCTGCCTAGGGGCAGGGACCATCTCTTACTATGAGTATTATGTACTGTGCCATACACAGTGGGGCTGTGATCTCTAGTGAGGCCTCTAGTTCCTACTCTAATACAGATAAATATTAATATTAAAAAAATCTCAGTTACAATTGTTTTAAAATATCTCCTTTTTTAAACTAAAGTGGAGTGGTACTGAAGTTCAGAAGTCTGTGGACACAGCAATATAGATATACTTAACCTCTTACTCAACATTTATTAACCAGCAGCTGTGCAGAGGCCTGAGAGCCAGGAATCTTGGATTCTATATCTGACTTTGCAAGTCACTTACAATGTGACTTTTAGGAAGTCTCAACTTCCCTGTCTCCCAGTTTTTCCATTGATAAAATGGAGGTTACTACTGACCACACTGATGTTTGTAAAGTGTTTGGAATTCCTTGGGTGAAATATGCTAGGTAATTAAAAGTATTATTAATTATGATGTGAAAGTAAACAAACTGCAGCTATCCCTTTAGGAAGAGACATAATAGCATGACACAGGGGGTGAATTCAGTACATAAGAACATAAGCACAGCTATACTGGGTCAGACCAAAGGTCCATCTAGCCCAGTATAATCCACATTATGATTTTTTTAATTCTCTGTGTAGAAACCTGCATGGAACTTGGAGGGAGGAGCACAGATTACAGGAGGGAAGAATTTGGAGGAGGCACCAGGAAGCCAGCCTGTGTGCACATGGCTGGAATGCTAGCTGCAGTTGCAGCATCTTAGTTCCCTAAATAAAGAGGAAGTTTAGTTTTAGGCTGCGTCTACACTGCCACTTTCAGCGCTAAGACTTTAGTCATTCAGGGCACAGGTGCCCACTCTGTGGATGCTCTGGGGCTGGAGCATCCTTGGGGAAAAATTAGTGGGTGCTCTACACCCACTGGCAGCCAAGCTCCCCTCACCGCCGCCCCACCTCCTCCTCCTCCTCCGCCTCCTCCCCTGAGCGTGCCGCATCCCCACTCCTCCGCCTACCTCCCAGCGCTTCCCACCCAGCCACAGCCAAACAGCTGTTTGGTGGCGTTAGCAAACTCTGGGAGGGAGAGGGAGGAGCGGAAACATGGCACACTCAGGGGAGGAGGTGGGGCCAGGGCGGGGATTTGGGGAAGGAGTTGGAATGGAGGCAGGGAGGGAGCGGAGTTGGGGTGGGGATTTTGGGGAAGGGGTTGGAATGGGGGCGGGGCAGGGGTGGGAAGAGGCGGGGCAGGGGCCTCATGGAAGGGGTGGAGTGGGGGCAGGGCCGGGGGCAGAGGCAGGGTCGAGCACCCACAGGAAAGCGGGGAAGTCGGTGCCTATGGTTCCGCTGAGTGACAAAAGTTATAGCGCTGAAAAGTGTCAGGATAGACAGTGCTTTATTGCCGGGAGCCATGCTCCCAGCGATAAAGCTACCACCCCTAGTTCAAGGTGGTTTTTTTATCACCGGGATAGCTCTCCCCCGGCGATAAAGCGTGACTATACTGCCCATGTCACCACAGCCGCGCTGTAACATGGGCATTGTAGACATACCCTTAGAAGCATTAACTCCTTTCATGTTACCCAGCATGCGGCACATGAAACGTGGTGGCAGCAATCAGTCTAGTGAAACTCACAGCAAGGAAGAAAGTGGGATTAACAGAGAAATGAAGCAGCACCTAGAAACAGAGCAAACAGGCAGCATGGAGGGACTCGGACCACTGAGAATGCTGGATTTTCAAACAAAAAACCTTGCACAAGCCTGGAAGCAAGAACTGAGTCTGTATACGGAGCTGACCGTGGAGGATAAAGATAATGAAATGAAGGTAAAGCTTTTTTACGGTCACACTGGGAAAAAAGGAGGAGAGGTGAGTGAGACACTGGTGCCAGGAATAATGTGAAGCACTAGAACAACTAATCAAGGTGTTTGATGAGCACTGTGGTCCCAGACAGAATGACACTGTAGAGAGATACTGTTTTTTTGCCTGAAATCAACAAGCAAAAGAGGGAATAGAGACTTAGTTTGCAGAGCTGAGAACTCTGGCGTTCACATGTAACTTTGGAGACATAAAATACTTCCTTATTAGAGACAGAATCATTTGTGGGACGCATGATTCTGGCTTAAAGGAAAGATTGAGAGAAACAGATCTAATCTTAAAAAAATGCCTCCCATAGCAAAGGTAACTGAACTGTGCAGGGAAAGATACACAGGCTCAAGCTAAAGGAATGCAGGAAACAGGTCAAAGAGAAACCCACTGAGAATGCATCATGGTCCATGGAAAGCAACATGAGAGGCAGAAAGAAAAATGCGCAGTGTATGGACAGCTGTTCAAGAGGTGTGGAAAACAGAACCACTTTATGTTGCAATGCTGCAGCCAGGGCTGGCTCCAGGCACCAGCTGAGCAAGCTGGTGCTTGGGGCGGCAGATTGTTCGAGGCGGCGTTCTGCCCAATCCTAGGGCGGCACGGCCGCTTTTTGTTTTGTTTTGTTTTTTTGTTCTTGTTCCGCTCCGGCCGCGGAGCCCTCGCGGCAGGCGGCAGGAGGTGGTGCAGCGGGAGGGGCTGCGTGGTAGCGCCCCTGCTGTAGCCCTGGCCGCCCCCTTCTCTCTCTCTCCCGCCCGCTCCCTCCCCCTCCACCTCCCAGCCGGTTCCCCTGCACCCGCGCTCCGGCTGCGCCGCAGGTTTTTTTTTGCTTGGGGCGGCCAAAAAGCCAGAGCCAGCCCTGGCTGCAGCTATCCCAGGAAGAAAAAAGTGACACCACATACAGTGATTGAGGAAGTAGAGACTTCCACTAAAGAGAAGGATATCTGCAGTTTGACTTTCAGACACAAAGACAAAGACTCTCAGTGTATATGTGCTGCAGAAGAAGGCTTCCAGCCACTCAACTGCCATTTGCATCTAAACTATAAGATCAACGACCTATTCGATTCCAGCTGGATTGTGGAATCAGCTGCAATGTAATCCCAGCAACACTGATAAGCAGCAATATTAGTCTGCGGAAGTGCAACCAATGCAGGTGATGTACAATAAATTCTGAGTCCAATGAGCAAATGCAGGCTATAGATAAGAAACCCATGTAACAAGAGATATTATCACTTGGCGTTTATAGTAATTGGCACACAGGAATACCACCCACTGCTGGGCAGCAGGGCAGAGTGGGCCAGGGATTTGATCACAGTATAACACCACAATATTCTCAATATGACAAGGAGGGATATCAGTCACCCAGGGCCCTGTCTAGCAGTCTAACA